AAACCGTAAACTTAGGGTTTAGGGTTTAGGGTTTAAGGTTTAGAGTTTAGGGTTTAGGGTTCAGGGCCTTGAGCCAGGTTCGTGATCTTCACGCAGGCAAAGCCCATCGTACAAGGGCAGGCTTGCAGCGCTTAGGGTTTAGGGCTTCAGGGGCTCTGTAGGCCAGGGTTTAGGGTTTAGGGTTTAGGGTTAAGGGTTTAGGGTTTAGGGTTTAGGGTTAAGGGTTCCATCCGGTTTCCCCATGGGTTCCATCGTTACTACCTATAGTCTCCATTGTAGTTCCTTTTGGCGTTACCTTATAGTAGCCCAGCTATAAAGTTGGTTTAACCCAAAAAGTAACTACAATGGAGACTATAGGTATAGGGCTTTCATGTAAGACACCCCTGCCCTATAATCCCAAAACTTTGAGATTCATATGAAGAGTCCTGAACCCTAAAACCCAAACCCCTTTAAGGAACCCTGGTGGGTTCAAACATTCATATACAGAGTCCTGAACGCTAAAACCCAAACCCCTTGAAGGAACCCCGGTGAGTTGTAAGATTCATATAAAGAGTCCTGAACCCTAAAACCTTTGAACCTCTGAAAGGAACCCTGGTGGGTTCAAAGATTCATATAAAGAGTCCTGAACCCTAAAACCCAAACCCCTCAAATGAACCCTGGTGGGTTGAAAGATTCATATCAAGAATGCTGAACCCTAAAACCCAAACCCTAAACCCTAAACCTTGAACCCTAAACCCTAAACCCTAAACCCTAAGTTTACGATTTTGATAAGGAGCCCTAGTAGAGACTTTGGCCTTTTTAATCAGGTTCCTTCATTCGGCTTTATGGAGCTTCGAATCTGGAGTCGTCAGGTTTCCGCGTTAAGGCTTCGGGTCCGAGGGTCCTAGGGTCTTAGGCTCTTAGGGTCTTAGGGTCTTAGGGTTTAGGGTGTTTAGGTCTTAGGGTTCGGGGTTTAGGCTTCAGGGTTTAGGGCTTAGCTTAGGGTCTTAAGGGGTAGGGTTCAGGGCCTGTGGGTTTTGGAATCATCCGCTCTGACTGGTTTCGCGGTGCCGGGTTTACGATTTATGGTTGAGCGTGTGGGGGTTGGGTAGCCTGGCGGGGAGTGGTCTGGCGGTTCACAACTTCGGCAAGGATTCCTAAACCCCTAACCCGAACTCCTAACGTGGAAGCCCTAAGCCGAAATCCTTATCCACGCTTTGCGGTGCATCGTCTGCATTTCAGAAGCGAAGCAAGGGTGGTAGTTTTGTAACCTGCTGCAACACTTTTGGGGTTCCACGGGACGGTTTTTGGTTTAGGGGGCTTTCAGGATTAGGACACCTTTACCCACAACCGTGCCTAGGACTCGTTATCATGTTCTTCCTGACAGCTGAGTTCTGGGCAGACTGGTGTAAATCTGGTTTCGAAGGTTCAGAATGGGAATCCCAAGCCGAGACGCAGATGCTTGAAAGAAAGTTTGTTCAAAACTCCAATAAACGATAGTCCTTTTCAGCCCTGATGTAAACAGACTGCTGAACGAAGTAAAGCCTAAAAGACCGCAGGCCAAACCCTTCTAGAACACCCGAAAGCACCCTTCAAAGAAAGCCCTATAGAACCCTCAAAGGAAGCCCATCCAAGGAACCCTCAAAAGAACCCTAAACCCAAACCCTAAACACCCGAAAGCACCCTTCAAAGAAAGCCCTATAGAACCCTCAAAGGAAGCCCCTCCAAGGAACCCTCAAAAGAACCCTAAACCCAAACCCTAAACTCCATAACGGAACCCTTGAAAGGAACCCTCGAAACGAACCCTGAAAGTAATGTAGGGCTTTAATGATTACCTACACTATTTTGGGGGTTCCTTATTAAAACGATAGTATAACATGCCCCCCAAAACCCTATTCTAATTATTAAGGCCCCTATAATAGTATAATATGCCCCCAAACCCTATTCTAATTATTAAGGCCCCTATATTACTCCTAAGTCTCGGGCCGATTTTAGAGCCAAGCCTCAAGTGCGAGTTGAGCAAATGGAAAGGCTCAGTTTAGGCTTCATGCTTGTTTAGGGTTGAAGGTTTAGGGTTTAGGGTTCAGGGTTTAGGGTTTAGGGTTTAGGGTTTAGGATCTAGGGCTTCGGGCTTTTGTAAGATCTAGGGTTTAGTGGTTTAGGGATTAAGGTTTCTCTGGAAAGCATAAATGTTTGATGTTTGATCGCGGACGTCCACCTGTGCACGGCACCGCGCACTTGGAGGCTGCGACGACGTCAGGACGCTGTGGAGGCGCTGGTCCAACCACGCTTCCGTGGTGGAACAGCCCTGACGCTCATCAACGAATAGTTCGTGCCTTGTGATTGTGAGGGCTGGCTGGGTTACAGGCCCATTTCATCTGCCGGATCGCGGGTCGAATTCTGGCGAGCTTTGGTCTCTCCACACGAAGGAAGAGATGGACTCTCCTTTTATGCTTGCAGGCTTGCGAAATGAGAACGGGTGGCCTCGCGGCCTCGCTGTTCTACTCGTAGGCTGTTCATAGGGGGTGTATGGGGTTCTGGCTAGGATTTCACAGGTCCCTTGTTTGCGGGGTTGTAAAGGGCTCGCAGATAGTAGGGCTCTTATTCATGGGGGCCGCGAAACAAGAGGAAATCCCATTCAGCTTCATAGACACCCTACTCAACCCTTACATGTATGAATAAGACGCATGCATATTATACATAGATATACATATGTATATATATATATATAGATATGTATTTAAAAGCATCTATAAACATACACATAGTTTTATATTCACCCATATCTACATGCCCATTGTTATATATATATATATGTAGATGACGGACAAAGATCCCGAAGTAAGGTTACCTTTAGTACAAGCAGCCGCGTGTTGCCGAGCGAAAAGCATCTCTGGGTGCAGGCTCGACCGCTTGAGAGAATTGAGCTTAGGGTTGAGGGTTTCGGATTGGGTTTGCGGTTTAGGGTGTTTTAGTAATTAAGGTTTAGGGTTTAGGGTTTAGAGTTTTTTCCTAAACCCGAAGCCGTCAAGGTCCAGAGAAAAGAGCTCACCGTTTAAGCCTTCAACCCTAAACCCTACACCCGAAAGTCCGATCCACTGCACCTTCAAAAAACCCTAAACCCTGGAAGTCAAAGCAGCTTTTGTCAGGACGTCAAGTCCTGGCAGAAGCTTCAGATGCGAAACGCAATCTGGAGGTGGCTCAATCGCATATTTTTTCGTCAGGCTATAAGTCCTGTACTATTTTGGGAGTTTCTTAGTATAAGTATAGTATAATAGCATACCCCAAAACCCTATTCTAATTATTACTTCGGCCGCTACATTAGTGCAGTTTCGGATTTGGGGATTTGGGGGTTCTGGCTGAGGGTTTCCGGTTGAGGGGTCCCTAGGTTCGGTTGAATGAGCGCTTCGGGGGTTCCTTGTTATAACTATACTATATAATGGGCCCCAAAGCCTTATTCCAATTATTAAGGCCCCTACGATATAACCCTATTATATAGATCCCTTATAACTTAACCTTTTAAGGATCGCTTCAGAACCCCTCTTCCTTAATGAGGTTTATGTCTACGTGTTTCAACTCCTGGCACTACTTAGAGGTTTAGGGTTTAGGGTTTAGGGTTAAGGTAATATTGGTCAGGGTTTGACCCTAACTGAATCCGTAAACCCTTAACCCCAATTCCGGCTACGGCTTGTGTTTTCCAGAGAGTAACACCGAAACAGCCCCCTAAAATCTAACCAACTGAAGCCCGAAACCCTAAATCCTAAAACCTAACAAGCCTCACTCCCACGAGTTCTCCCAAACCCTGAACTAAAGCTGGAACGGATACGGCTTAGGGTTCACCCTTGAGAAGTGTTTGGTCGGTGGGATGCGCCATCTGCAGCTGTGAAACCACGTTCAGAATGACTTGTGGGGGTTCCTGAAATTGTGCGCTCCGATTGCGTACCAAATCTGTGGCAAGACGGTGTGTTCATATGGAGGACTACGCGTGGAGCACGGTATGGCCGTGAGTTACGCAGCTTGGGGCGAAGCCAGGCAACTTTCCTGGGGCCGAGCCTACGATCAGCATGGGAATTTATTCTGCATTGGCTACTGTGTTGCTGGAAATTCGGCTTACCGTGGGTGCACGAAGAAAATTCTCACAGTCGATGACTTGAAGGACCTATTCAACGGAGTTGCGAACCCAAGGGAAGAGATGCTGGGAGACGTCTTCGAGCTTGCATTGGGGTTGCGGCGTTTTGGGTTTCCGGTGTTTTGGGAGCCCGAACCCAGATGCGCAACTCCTAAAGCCCAAGTCTACAGCCCTTCGCCTAAACCCTAAACCCTAAACCCGATGTTTGTCCACGCACCCTTGCTAATAGAGCCTTGTGGAGCCCCCATGGAACCCCTGATAATGCAAAGCCCTTGTGGAGCCCTAACCCTAAACCCCAAACCCTAAACCCAAAACCCCAAACCCGAAAACCTAAACCCTAAACCCCTAAGCCCGAAACCCTAAACCATAAACCCGAAACCCGAAACCCTAAACCCTCAAGAAAGACAAAAAATAGAAATGGCTTGTTGCTGCTGGCCGTCTGGAAACTCTAAGTTTTTGCAGTCGAGACACAGCCTTTCCATTTCAAACAAACAATTTTCAATTTCAGGGTTTAGCCAACCAACCCACCCGCGCTGTGCCAGAAGCCGCCCCAAGCAACCCAGGCCCAGCCCAGCCCCCAGCCCTGCCCCAACTAGCCCACACCCTACACCCTAAACCCTAAACCCTAAACTCTCAACCCTAAACCCTAAGCCAAGCCCAGAGCCCAGCCAGCCAGGCCCAGAGCCCAGCCAGCCCAGCCCAGCCCCAAATTCAACATGAGGCTCCAAAGGGAAAACCCGCACAAAACGTTTCGCTCAAAACGGTTTTGGCACCCCAACCCTCAACAATTTCTATAAGCCCGACACCCTAGACCCCTTATTGTACAAAGTAAACCCTAAACCCTAAACCCCTAGACCCCTTATTGTACAAAGCCCTTGTAGAGCCCTTGGTAGAACCTCACTACGAACCGGAAGCCCGAAGGTGGCGAACCAGGTCCCCGACGTTCCAAATGGGTCTAGGGTCTAGGGTTTAGGGTTTAGGGTGCAAGACTATTCCCTCGTAGCATATCAGTCTATATGGGGTTTTTATCGGGCTGTTTTAGGATTTTTATCAGGGTTTGGGTGATAGTTGCCGTCCCGTAGAGCTGCAGTGATATGCCAGAACAAACCCTAAACCCTAAACCCCCCCAAATCCATAGTCTTGTTCTCATGACCAGTCACATTCCCTCTGCAGACCCCTTCGAGGATCCTTAGGCTTCTTGTCGAGGCCCCCTGAAACCCTGAACCCTAAACCCTAAACCCTAGGGTTTAGGGCTTGGGGTTTAGGGTTTAGGGTTTAGGGCTTAGGGTTTAGGGTTTAGGGTTTAGGGCTTAGGGTTTAGGGTTTAGGGTTTAGGGCATAAATCCTAAAATCCTAAAACCTTAAGCCCTGGAATTTAATCCGCAGGTCAGTACCCCTCGCCTGCATCACTTTTTTTCTCGCGCTTCGGGACCTCGTGGAGATTCCGGCGTGCCAGTGGCCCTGCTCAAATTAGGGTTAAGGGGTGAGGGTTCAGGGTTTAGGGTTCATGGTTCAGGGTTTAGGCTTCAGGGTTTAGGATTTAGAGGTTTAGGACGCGCAGGTAGGTTTTAGCACCCTAAACCCTAAACCCTAAACCCTAAACCCGAAACCCTGAGCAAACCATCAGGGTTTCGGTTTCAGGGTTGGTGTTTGGGGTGCGGAGAGTTCGGGACCTGGAGGCTGGCGAGGTCGGTGGCAAGCTGCAACCCTACACCCAGGGACCGTAGACCCTAAACCCTAAACCCTAAACCCGAAACCCCTAAACCCCTAAACCCTAAATCCTAAGCCGTAGACTAGGTCCGAGACGGAAGATCGGAGCTCTTAAAAAAAAATAGAAGAATTTCTTCGGGTTCCTTACTAGACATATAGTTCAATTAACCCTAAAGCCCTAGCCACTCATTAAGGGATTTGTGCTTTGCCTGAATTTGGGGTACTTCTGTCCCAACGTCCCAGAGATGAAAGCCGTTTAAGTATTCAGGGTTTGGGATTTGGGGGTTTTACGGTTTAGGGTTTATAGGGTTTATGGCCAGGAGGCCAAGAAGTTGCTAATTTCCCGTACGCATTATTGTGAGTGTGGGTGCTTTTCGCCATTCGGGCCATTCGGGGCTGTAGGGGCTTCTATTCTTTAGGGCTTCGACTACCCAAACACAAGCTCCAAAACTTGAACTCTGTCTATTTCTGTGAATCTCTCACCGACCGGGGCTGCAACAACAGCCACAGAAACACAAGCACAAGCACATGGACAAGGACAAGGACAAGGACAAACACAAGGGCAAGGGCAAGGGCACAACAACACCAGCAGTCACAGCAACAACAACAGCCTCTACTACTCCTCCTTCTCTTGCTGCTATTGCTACTTCTTCAGCTGCTACTGCGACTGCAACAGCTGCAACTGCAACTGCTACCGCCACCGCTACTGCTGCTGCTGGCGCTGCTACAACTGCTAGCTTCATCTCAAGCTGAAAAGGTTCTTGTCCTGCGTGTCCATTCTCGGCACGGGGCTCTTTAACGACGACCAGGGGCCATTCCTCCAGGCTCGGTTTTGGGTTTGGGTGATTCATTCATAAACCCTAACCCCTTCCAAAAAACCCACCAAACCCTAGACTGAAAACCCTAAGCCCCATACCGCAAACCCTAAACCCCAAAACCTAACTCTTAGTTTGGCAGTTGTGGCTTGGCGGCTTTCGGCATGCTTCTTCGATGAGGGGACCTCTGGGGTTTGGGAGACAAGGGCGCTCTCGCAGAGAACTCCAAGCCATCAAAGCCCTAAGCCCTAAACCCCTTGAATGCTGCGCAAAGCGTCATAGAAGATACTGCCGACGGTGGCTTCTTATGTCAGGTCTCGCTGCCAGACCTTTAGAGTACTTTCGGCGCCGGTCTTGTTGCTCGTCGTCGTCGTCTTCGTCACGGGAAGCTTGATGCAGTCTTTGGGCCTGACTCGCAGTAAGATTCAGAGCAATCCCCTAAACCCTAAACCCCTAAACCCTAAACCCTAAACCCCTAAACCCTAAACCCTAAACCCTAAACCCCTAAACCCCTAAACCCTAAACCCTAATCAGGCCGCCACCGCCCAGAATCTGAGCCTCGGCCAGCAGGGTGCGCGGAAGTTTCCCTGTCTTGGGGCCAGGTTTAGAGTTTAGGGTTTAGGGTTTAGGGTTTAGGGTTTAGGGTTTAGGGTTTAGGGTTTAGGGTTTAGAGTTTAGGGTTTAGGGTTTAGGGTTCAGGGGCTTGGGATGTCCACAAAAGCCTTCCATCCAAGGAAAGCGTAAAGAGCGTTATATTGTATTATTTGGTCGACTTACTAGCTAGTGTATGTATGTATGTGTATATATATATATGGCATTATAGACTGTAGCGAAAAGTTCGGCTGGGATGAAAGTCGGTTCCCCCGAATGCAGAGCTCGGGCAAAGAGCCTGAAACCCCAAGCTCCACCCTAAACCCCAAACCCTAAGCCCTAACCCCTAAACCCTAAACCCTAAATCCCAAAGCCTTAAACTTTAAACCCTACACCGAGGAATGTGTCAAGGGTCTTCCGCTGGATTGAGATCCGCAAGTCTACAGATGCGTGCCTTGCTCTGAACGCGTGGGGTGTAGAGTTTAGGGGTTTAGGGTTCAGGGTTTATTATTGGTTCCTGAACCTCAATAAGGGGAGGCCGAATAACTCGTAATATTATCCCCGGATAGTCCCTAGTATAGTGGTAGTGCATAGATCCTGTTCTAATTTTTGACCACGCTTGATGAAGGCAACCTGAGCTTTGCGGTTTTGGATCGAGTTTCTGTTTCCCGCAACGCTACTTCATTTGCTGAGCAGTTCCGATGTTCTAAACCCTAAACCCTAAACCCTAAACCCTAAACCCTAAACCCTAAACCCTAAACCCTAAACCACAGGCAGTCAAGTGGAGGAGGCCGGCCGTCGACGAATCTCTAGATGTCGCAATCATTAAAGAGTTTCTGAAAACAGGGGGGCTTATTTTGAGTTTAAAGGGTTTAGGGTTTAGGGTTTAGTGTTTAGGGTTTAGGGGAGTTTTGTAATTTAGGATTTGGGGTTTAGGGTTTAGGGACCCGTCTTATGACTACACCCATATAGCTATCCCAAACGTTAAGAACACATGCAATTCTGATCTAATTGTTTAGGCGTGGATAGAGTTGAGGGCGTGGGGTTTACTCTGTCGCAGCTGCGCCGGTAAGGTACAACCTGACGAGGGTCTTCGAGCCGCCCCTCGGCGCAGAGCTCACGGTTGCGGATGAATTTGATTTCAGTTTTGAAAATTCCAAAAGAAACTGAGACAACAAATGCTGCAGTACTGCGGAAAAAAGACGAGGTGTTCACGATGCGAGCTTGGGGAGTTCAGCGTAGATCTACAGCGGTGTACCGTCCTCCCACCCATCCGAGCCTCAAGAGCGATACACTGAACCCCACCGGCAGCCAGAAGACGTTTTTGTTTAGGGGTTAGGGTTTAGGGCTTTGGGTTTAGGGTTTAGGGATTCATACAATGGAACTGTCATGTGTCCACTCAGACGATGTAGTAGGTGTTTTTTGGTGACAAGTATACTGAAGAAGCCTGAATGGCTTGAACAGGGCTTTGGTGTGTCTGTGTGTGTATATGTACAAGTATATACAAGTATAGAAGTAAGAACCCTAAACCTTACACCCTAAACCCTAAACCCTATTGTAAGAATCCTTCACATCTCTTTGTTACCTTAAACCCCAAAACCTAAACCCTAAACTGGGAATCCTTCAGATCTCTTCGTTACCCTAAGCCCTTATGAGCCCTAAACCCTAAGTTAGGAATCCTTCAGATCTCTTTGTTACCCCAAAGATCAGGCCCTCAAGCATGAATGCCGAGAATCCCTAAACCGCAAACCGAAGCACAAAGCCCGTAACCTCAACCGCAAAACCTCAACTTTTGAACCCTAAACCCTAAACCCTAAACTCGAAACCCTAGATCCTAAACCCTAAAACCCTGAAGCCCTACGGACCGGCGGCCCCAGGAGCTTTCGAAAGAAGTTCTTAGACACGGAGGAGGTGCTGTGGAAAAGTGCCCACTGCGGCGAATCGCAGTGGCACGCGGTGCCTTCGGCTGCACAGTGCGCCGGGCTCCTGAAACAGTGCCTCTTCGATTAGGGTTTAGGGTTTAGGGTTTAGGGTTTAGGGTTTGTCGTCGATTCTGTGCCAGAATGGTTGGTGTTAGAGCAACCGTAAGTCATCCAAATAGGGAAAGTAGTAGCAGGGTTGATGGTGCTTTATGGCAAGAGTAAGTGTAATCCAATAGAAATGGTTATAGTGATACATTGCTCCAGCAGGAGCAGTGACCAAACACAGAACCGGTGTGTAGTAGAGGCCGCAAAAGCGAAAGTGATAATGAAACAGTTACGGTGGGAGTAGCACTTCTAGTCAGTGACCTATTATTGGGGACAGAAACGTGGCCCGGACTCGATATTGTTTTAATTTAGAAAGGAAGTGCATTAAGTTTTCCTGGGTGTCTGTTTTAGAGTTTTACGGCGGTGTAGGGTTCAGGGGTTAGGTTAGTCTGGGGTTTAGGTTCAGGGTGTAGGTGTCAAGAGATGACATGTGCGGCGAAAGTGCGTGGAGTATGAGGGATGTAGTAGCCCCTGTAGTAACCAAATAGCAAGCCTTATAAAGTGCTGTACCCGAATATTAGGACTTATTAACCCCTTCTAGCAGCCCTTATAGAACCCAAGACACGGCCAACGATGTGGCCCAGAACCCTAAACTCTAACCCGGAGCCCTATATTTGAACCTTGAATCACTGAATACCCTAAACCGAAAACCCTAAATCCTAAACTCTAAACCCTAAACTGTATATAAACTCCAAACCTTGAGCCGCATCAACTCTTATCCCGGGACGCATGTGGAACCTGTGAATCTTTGGACTTCGTGACATACGTTTTAGGGTTTAGGGCTTGAGGCTTAGGGTTTAGGGTTTAGGGTTTAGGGCCTGGGGTTTAGGGTTTAGGGTGTTGGGCTTGGGGTTTACGGTTTAGGGCTTGGGGTTTAGGGCTTGGGGTTTAGGGCTTGGGGGCATGTCCACCTGTCGAGAGCCGTTCGCCTAAGTGCTCGGATCCAAGTCGCGAGTCAAGGTCCCTTCCCAGAGACTCCAATATCCCTGAACCAAGGAATATACCTTAAATCATATTAGGGATCCTACCATAATTGAAGGTATATTCCTTAATTAAGGGACATTGGAGTCTCTGAGTTCCCCAAAACGGGAGGGGCTTAGGCCCTGCATGGGGTTTAGGGTTGAGGGTCTCGAGGCCACGACCCAAATCCCCTAAACCCCTAAACC